AGACAGGGACTATAACACAGAGAGACAGGGACTATAACAGAGAGGGACAGGGACTACAACAGAGAGAGACAGGGACTATAACAGAGAGACAGGGACTATAACAGAGAGACAGGGACTATAACAGAGAGACAGGGACTATAACAGAGAGACAGGGACTATAACAGAGAGACAGGGACTATAACAGAGAGAGACAGGGACTATAACAGAGAGAGACAGGAACTATAACAGAGAGACAGGGACTATAACAGAGAGACAGGGACTATAACAGAGAGAGACAGGGACTATAACAGAGAGACAGGGACTATAACAGAGAGAGACAGGGACTATAACAGAGAGAGACAGGGACTATAACAGAGAGAGACAGGAACTATAACAGAGAGACAGGGACTATAACAGAGAGACAGGAACTATAACAGAGAGACAGGAACTATAACAGAGAGACAGGAACTATAACAGAGAGACAGGGACTATAACAGAGGGACAGGGACTATAACAGAGAGACAGGGACTATAACAGAGAGACAGGGACTATAACAGAGGGACAGGGACTATAACAGAGAGACAGGGACTATAACAGAGAGACAGGGACTATAACAGAGGGACAGGGACTATAACAGAGAGACGGGGACTATAACAGAGAGACAGGAACTATAACAGAGAGACAGGAACTATAACAGAGAGACAGGAACTATAACAGAGACAGGAACTATAACAGAGAGACAGGGACTATAACAGAGGGACAGGGACTATAACAGAGAGACAGGGACTATAACAGAGAGACAGGGACTATAACAGAGAGACAGGGACTATAACAGAGAGACAGGGACTATAACAGAGAGAGACAGGGACTATAACAGAGAGAGACAGGAACTATAACAGAGAGACAGGGACTATAACAGAGGGACAGGGACTATAACAGAGAGAGACAGGGACTATAACAGAGAGACAGGGACTATAACAGAGAGACAGGAACTATAACAGAGAGACAGGGACTATAACAGAGGGACAGGGACTATAACAGAGGGACAGGGACTATAACAGAGAGACAGGGACTATAACAGAGAGACAGGGACTATAACAGAGAGACAGGGACTATAACAGAGAGAGACAGGGACTATAACAGAGAGAGACAGGAACTATAACAGAGAGACAGGGACTATAACAGAGAGACAGGGACTATAACAGAGGGACAGGGACTATAACAGAGAGAGACAGGGACTATAACAGAGAGACAGGAACTATAACAGAGAGACAGGGACTATAACAGAGGGACAGGGACTATAACAGAGGGACAGGGACTATAACAGAGAGACAGGAACTATAACAGAGAGACAGGAACTATAACAGAGAGACAGGGACTATAACAGAGGGACAGGGACTATAACAGAGAGACAGGGACTATAACAGAGGGACAGGGACTATAACAGAGAGAGACAGGGACTATAACAGAGAGGGACAGGGACTATAACAGAGAGACAGGAACTATAACAGGGAGACAGGAACTATAACAGAGAGGGACAGGGACTATAACAGAGAGACAGGGACTATAACAGAGAGAGACAGGGACTATAACAGAGAGACGGACTACAACAGAGAGACGGACTACAACAGAGAGACAGGGACTACAACAGAGAGAGACAGGGACTATAACAGAGAGAGACAGGGACTATAACAGAGAGAGACAGGGACTATAACAGAGAGAGACAGGGACTATAACAGAGAGACAGGAACTATAACAGAGAGACAGGAACTATAACAGAGAGGGACAGGGACTATAACAGAGAGACAGGGACTATAACAGAGAGGGACAGGGACTATAACAGAGAGACAGGAACTATAACAGAGAGACAGGAACTATAACAGAGAGGGACAGGGACTATAACAGAGGGACAGGGACTATAACAGAGAGAGACAGGGACTATAACAGAGAGACAGGAACTATAACAGAGAAACAGGAACTATAACAGAGAGAGACAGGGACTATAACAGAGAGGGACAGGGACTATAACAGAGAGAGACAGGGACTATAACAGAGAGACAGGGACTATAACAGAGAGGGACAGGGACTATAACAGAGAGAGACAGGGACTATAACAGAGAGAGACAGGGACTATAACAGAGAGACAGGAACTATAACAGAGAGAGACAGGTACTATAACAGAGAGAGACAGGAACTATAACAGAGAGACAGGGACTATAACAGAGAGAGACAGGGACTATAACACAGAGAGGGACAGGGACTATAACAGAGAGAGACAGGGACTATAACAGAGAGAGACAGGAACTATAACAGAGAGACAGGGACTATAACAGAGAGAGACAGGGACTATAACACAGAGAGACAGGGACTATAACAGAGAGGGACAGGGAATATAAGAGAGAGAGACAGGGACTATAACAGAGACAGGGACTATAATAGAGAGAGACAGGGACTATAACAGAGAGACAGGGACTATAACAGAGAGACAGGGACTATAACAGAGAGACAGGGACTATAACAGAGAGGGACAGGGACTATAACAGAGAGAGACAGGGACTATAACACAGAGAGACAGGGACTATAACAGAGAGGGACAGGGACTACAACAGAGAGAGACAGGGACTATAACAGAGAGACAGGGACTATAACAGAGAGACAGGGACTATAACAGAGAGACAGGGACTATAACAGAGAGACAGGGACTATAACAGAGAGACAGGGACTATAACAGAGAGAGACAGGGACTATAACAGAGAGAGACAGGAACTATAACAGAGAGACAGGGACTATAACAGAGAGACAGGGACTATAACAGAGAGAGACAGGGACTATAACAGAGAGACAGGGACTATAACAGAGAGAGACAGGGACTATAACAGAGAGAGACAGGGACTATAACAGAGAGAGACAGGAACTATAACAGAGAGACAGGGACTATAACAGAGAGACAGGAACTATAACAGAGAGACAGGAACTATAACAGAGAGACAGGAACTATAACAGAGAGACAGGGACTATAACAGAGGGACAGGGACTATAACAGAGAGACAGGGACTATAACAGAGAGACAGGGACTATAACAGAGGGACAGGGACTATAACAGAGAGACAGGGACTATAACAGAGAGACAGGGACTATAACAGAGGGACAGGGACTATAACAGAGAGACGGGGACTATAACAGAGAGACAGGAACTATAACAGAGAGACAGGAACTATAACAGAGAGACAGGAACTATAACAGAGAGACAGGAACTATAACAGAGAGACAGGGACTATAACAGAGGGACAGGGACTATAACAGAGAGACAGGGACTATAACAGAGAGACAGGGACTATAACAGAGAGACAGGGACTATAACAGAGAGACAGGGACTATAACAGAGAGAGACAGGGACTATAACAGAGAGAGACAGGAACTATAACAGAGAGACAGGGACTATAACAGAGAGGACAGGGACTATAACAGAGAGAGACAGGGACTATAACAGAGAGACAGGGACTATAACAGAGAGACAGGAACTATAACAGAGAGACAGGGACTATAACAGAGGGACAGGGACTATAACAGAGGGACAGGGACTATAACAGAGAGACAGGGACTATAACAGAGAGACAGGGACTATAACAGAGAGACAGGGACTATAACAGAGAGAGACAGGGACTATAACAGAGAGAGACAGGAACTATAACAGAGAGACAGGGACTATAACAGAGAGACAGGGACTATTACAGAGGGACAGGGACTATAACAGAGAGAGACAGGGACTATAACAGAGAGACAGGAACTATAACAGAGAGACAGGGACTATAACAGAGGGACAGGGACTATAACAGAGGGACAGGGACTATAACAGAGAGACAGGAACTATAACAGAGAGACAGGAACTATAACAGAGAGACAGGGACTATAACAGAGGGACAGGAACTATAACAGAGAAACAGGAACTATAACAGAGAGAGACAGGGACTATAACAGAGAGACAGGAACTATAACAGAGAGAGACAGGGACTACAACAGAGAGACAGGGACTACAACAGAGAGAGACAGGGACTACAACAGAGAGACAGGGACTACAACAGAGAGAGACAGGGACTATAACAGAGAGAGACAGGGACTACAACAGAGAGACGGACTATAACAGAGAGACAGGAACTATAACAGAGAGACAGGAACTATAACAGAGAGACAGGAACTATAACAGAGAAACAGGAACTATAACAGAGAGACAGGAACTATAACAGAGAGACAGGAACTATAACAGAGAAACAGGAACTATAACAGAGAGAGACAGGGACTACAACAGAGAGAGACAGGGACTACAACAGAGAGAGACAGGGACTATAACAGAGAGAGACAGGGACTATAACAGAGAGAGAGGACAGACTATAACAGAGAGACAGGGAATACAACAGAGAGAGACAGGGACTATAACAGAGAGAGACAGGGACTACAACAGAGGGAGACAGGGACTACAACAGAGAGAGACAGGGACTATAACAGAGAGAGACAGGGACTATAACAGAGAGAGACAGGGACTATAACAGAGAGACAGGGAATACAACAGAGAGAGACAGGGACTATAACAGAGAGAGACAGGGACTACAACAGAGAGAGACAGGGACTATAACAGAGAGAGACAGGGACTATAACAGAGAGAGACAGGGACTATAACAGAGAGACAGGGACTACAACAGAGAGAGACAGGAACTATAACAGAGAGACAGGAACTATAACAGAGAAACAGGAACTATAACAGAGAGAGACAGGGACTATAACAGAGAGAGACAGGGACTACAACAGAGAGACAGGGACTACAACAGAGAGAGACAGGGACTATAACAGAGAGACAGGGACTATAACAGAGAGACAGGGACTATAACAGAGAGACAGGGACTATAACAGAGAGAGACAGGGACTACAACAGAGAGAGACAGGGACTATAACAGAGAGAGACAGGGACTATAACAGAGAGAGACAGGGACTATAACAGAGAGAGAGCGAGGGGGGGGGGGACGTACTGGGAGTCGACCTTCCTGATGGTGAGCTCGACGCGGTTGCCGGCGGCCTTGATGAGGTCATAAGCATCGAAGTGACAAAGGGCGCGGGCGTCGTGGCCCTCGATCATAACCAGTATGTCCCCAACGTTGAGGTGCTGCGCCGCCAGCGTCCCCGGCGTCACCTGCAGGAGGAAGAACACCGTCAGGTGGTGCAGTAACTCCGGTCATCTTGAGGTTATCTTGAGATGATTTCGGGGCTTTTAGTGTCCCCACGGCCCGGTCCTCGACCAGGCCTCCACCCCCAGGAAGCAGCCCGTCACAGCTGACTAACACCCAGGTACCTATTTTACTGCTAGGTAATAGGGGCACAGGGTGAAAGAAACTCTGCCCATTGTTTCTCGCCGGCGCTTGGGATCGAACCCAGGGCCACAGGATCACAAGTCCAGCGTGCTGTCCGCTTGGCCGACCGGCTCCAGTCATGACCTCAAGTACAACATGACCCTTGGAATCAGGAATGGGACACAGTATAGTTTCAACGGTTAAGATTCGCAGCCCAAGAGCTGAAGGTCAGCATAATGAAACACAGATGAGTACAGGGACATAAGAAGAGTTCCCGAGCTCAAGAGCTTCGACGGGAACTCAAAGTATGACCATGAACGACAGGGCAATACTGAGACAATATTAAGAGCAGTGAGAGTGGTTGGTGTTAATTGACAGGTCTGGGTCTATAACGCCAAGCCTAGTTGATGCGGAACTTCTAAACTATCAGTTGACCTACACCGATCACACAGGAACTTACCGAGTAAACCGGATATGTTATGGTCAATTATAGCCACAAAGAGGAAGCTTCAGTGTCATAGAGGTGCAACCCGTCCTCGACTCAAGTCCATTACATCCAGCGGTCGACCCTACAGACGCATTCATAAATTTTTACATGCTGTTCATTCAAAACGGGAATTTTCTCAAGTATAAATTAATATTATAATATATTGGTATATTGTGTAAATATAGGCATAGATTAGGTTAGGTTAGGTGTTTAGGTTCTGTTGGCGATTATTTGTATTTGTAGTACGTGGGTGAAGCATTTATAGCGTTGTGATTCGGACAAAATTCGTCAGTGAAGCACTTGTTCCGGATATGTTCGAACGTCAGCAGTTGCGAGTCAGCCCGTCCTCCAAACAAAGATCCAAAAGTGATTCCATGCACCCGCCAAACCCCCTGTTTATGAATGAAAAGCGGTTTACACACGACTCACAACTGCTGACGTTCGAACATATCCGGAACAAGTGCTTCACTGACGAATTTTGTTCGAACCACAACGCTATAAATGCTTCACCCACGTACTACAAATACAAATAATCGCCAACAGAACCTAAACACCTGACCTAACCTATCCTATGCCTATATATAGTTTACAGTCTCCGTGGTGTAGTGGTAAGACACTCGCCTGGCGTTCCGCGAGCGCTATGTCATGGGTTCGTATCCTGGCCGGGGAGGATTTACTGGGCGCAATTCCTTAACTGTAGCCTCTGTTTAACGCAACAGTAAAATGTGTACTTGGATGAAAAAACGATTCTTCGCGGCGGGGATCGTATTCCAGGGACCTGCCCGAAACGCTACGCGTACTAGTGGCTGTACAAGAATGTAACAACTCTTGTATATATCTCAAAAAAAAAAAAAAAAAAAAAAATATATACAAAATATGCTAATATATTATAATATTAATTTATACTTGAGAAAATTCCCGTTTTAAATGAACAGTATGTTAAAATTTATGAATGCGTCTGTGGGGTCGACCGCTGGATGTAATGGACTTGAGTCGAGGACGGGTTGGCCTGAGGACGGGATGCAAGTGTCATAGCTCAGGCCATAGCCCAGACCATAGCTCAGGTCATAGCTCAGGTCATAGCTCATGCCATAGCTCAGGCCATAGCTCAGGCCATGGCTCAGGTCATAGCTCAGGCTATAGCTCAGGCCATAGCTCATGCCATAGCTCAGGCCATAGCTCAGGCCATAGCTCAGGCCATAGCTCATGCCATAGCTCAGGCCATAGCTCAGGCCATAGCTCATGCCATAGCTCAGGCCATAGCTCAGGCCACACCTCATGCCATAGCTCAGGCCATAGCTCAGGCCATAGCTCAGGCCATAGCTCATGCCATAGCTCAGGCCATAGCTCATGCCATAGCTCAGGCCATAGCTCAGGCCATAGCTCAGGCCATAGCTCATGCCACAGCTCAGGCCATAGCTCATGCCATAGCTCAGGCCATAGCTCAGGTCATAGCTCATAGCTCTTCCTCCACACTGACAGCTAACACTGGCGTCGAACAGGGGAGTGCAATTATATTTTTTGGGCTTACATCAGTGTCCTACCAAATGCCAAGCAACTCTTTTTGTCAATTCTATTTGCTGATGACACAATTATCATTCTGCCAACTGTTATCCCTGGGACTCTAAAGTCCACGAGAATAGTCAATATGTGACCTGCCTGCCATAAGTGAGAGAGTTTTGTCTATTAGCTGAGCCTAGACTCTGTTAATGGACAAAATTATGCCCTCACTACCTTCACTTATGTCTACAGAACGAGAGGGAAAATTTGATTACAAATTTTACTTTTATAAGGTATCCAACTCCATCAAAATATTAATATATACCCGACTCAATTACTGACCAATCAATCAATTAATTCATGGGATAACTGGGACTACCAGTAGAGGTTGTAAATGGCCCCAAGAAAGATAGTGTTGACACTACGTTATCAAAGCAGTTAAGACCGTGCAGCGTGACTGAGAGTGCTCAGGTTGTGGAGAGCGACGTGTCAGTGCTATACTGATGCCTCTGGAGAGGGTGGAGGAAGTCTCTGGTGCTCAGGTCATGTATTTAAACCATCTTCTCTCGCACATACAACAGTGAAGCCTCAGTGACTCTACTAATATGACTTAAACCGATTTGTTAAAAAACAAAGGGAGAGGAATTAAATACTGTGCTGCGACTCTCAGAGAACACTCCTGGCACAGAACGAACACAATTGAAACACCCAGAAAATAGTCACTGATATTCGAATGAATGTTTTAGCTGGTAAAGAAAATTAATTTTATATTAAATTCCTTTGGATAATCTTTCATGTTGGCGTCTCAAAGCATGATACTGTTGACATGCTTGCAAAGACAGCCTGTAGCAAACCCATAGTAGACACTAATATAAACGTTTCATTTGTAATAACAGAATACTCAAACTAATGTCTGATGAGAAGCGTACTGACCTAACAAAGCCATAAAGACCTGAAAGCGATATTAATAAACATTATGATGGATACCGCGAGGAAACGTTTATATATGGATGTAACAGAGCAAGAACTTGGCAGTGGAATGCTCTAGTGGCCAGAATACATCTGGCTTACAGACGTATCTGGCAACTTTCTCAAATGTAGTGTTCAATGCGCCAGGTGTCAACTTTGTGAAAGAGAAAACATGCACTTGAACATTATATTGCACAATGTCCCCATACCAACCCGTCCTCGACTCAAGTCCATTACATCCAGCGGTCGACCCCACAGACGCATTCATAAATTTTAATATTCTGTTCATTCAAAACGGGAATTTTCTCAAGTATAAATTAATATTATAATATATTGGTATATTGTGCATATATAGGCATAGATTAGGTTAGGTTAGGTCAGGTGTTTAGGTTCTGTTGGCGATTATTTGTATTTGTAGTACGTGGGTGAAGCATTTATAGCGTTGTGATTCGAACAAAATTCGTCAGTGAAACACTTGTTCCGGATATGTTCGAACGTCAGCAGTTGCGAGTCGTGTGTAAACCGCTTTTCATTCATAAACAGGGGGTTTGGCGGGTGCATGGAATCACTTTTGGATCTTTGTTTGGAGGACGGGCTGACTCACAACTGATGAGTTCCGACCCCCGTGAGTTGAGATACGCTGAACCCCACAAACACTCCGAGTATTGAAACACTTGATATACTGGAACTGTGCCCAAGATGTACAATATAATGCACCAATTATGTAATATGTGTGATGTAATTATAACTTGACCTTGGAAAAGCACTTTTAATTACCTGTGGTTGAGTGCTCAATGTCATTAGTTCCATAGCAGCTCTCTTACCCTGCAGAGGAGCCGACAGGGTAAAAGAGCAGTTTATATGACTCTGGAGTGGATCACCTAATTCTTCTGTGCTCGCGTGGCAGCCCGGGGAAGGCATGTTGCAACCCGTTCTCGCACTTTCGTATAGTCAATATTGACTTATTAAATACGTGCATATGTGACATACTAATTTATTGTGAATATTTTAGTTTACCTTGAAAGGCTTCATAGAAAACACCGACCTTACCTAACCTTCTTAGTATGTTAAGATAAGCATCTTATTGCTTCGTAATTACAATTATTACTTACCCTATTATAGGTATAGGTATTACTTAACCTATTATAGGCATAGGTATTATTTAACCTATTATAGGTTTAGTAATAATTGTAATTACGAAGCAATAAGATGCTTATCTTAACATACTAAGGAGGTTGGGTAAGGTCGGTGTTTTCTATGAAGCTTTTCAAGGTAAACTAAAATATTCACAATAAATTAGTATGTCACATATGCACTTATTTAATAAGTCAATATTGACTGTAAGAAAGTGCGAGAACAGGTTGCATAACGTTACAGTTTGGGCAGGAGTTTAGTGCCTCTGGAGTCCTTCTCTAGTGTGGATAGCTCGTAGCTCAGTGGGAAGAGAGAGCACTCTGTCCTACACTTCAAGGCTCCTAATGCCCAGGTTAATGAAATATATTGTATTTCATATTTTTAACTGTGTATATTAAGTTAATACCCTGGAAACACAAACCGAAACTGTCTCTATTTTCCGCTTGTAACAACTTGTAATAAAGTTGTTACATCTTGGCTTAACGTGTTTATGACGTATTGGAACGTTGTTACAACTTGATATATTGGTTGTTATAACTGGTTAGGTGGTGTTAAAACTTGTTCGAACGTTGTACCAACGTCGTAGTTTCGGTGTGTGTTTGGCGGGTATAGACCACACTGACATACTGAAATAGTAGAGTGAAACAGGGAATATAATCACCGTAGACTTGTCAGTCCCCCCCTCCAAAACTTCCCCCACATTACCCCATTCCTCCCCCCCCCCCCCAACACTCAGCTGTCTCCAATTTGGGA